TGGCAGTTTTCTCAAAAAATGCTTGAATTCAAGAAGTTTTAGATTTGCGTGGTTTCTTTGAGTTGCAAAATCCACTTGAACATGACGCTGCTTATTTCGAAGTTTCTCAAGAACCATTCGAGCCAGAGAATTCGTTTTGGAATCGTTGAATAGAGAATTGAAAACTAACTCGATTCAGTCGTAACAACGTGAGTGAGGAAATTCGAGTAGTTTTGACCCAGAAAGCGAAATTTGAACAGCAGACACTTAGGTGCAAGATTATGCCAAAATTTCATGTTTTCCGTCCCGTTTTGCCTGTTTCTCGGAAGCAAAATGAGCAAGAACGCTTGATTTTACATCATTCCAGAGATAACTAAATGGCCTTTATTCGAAGTTTTTCAAGGACCATTCGAGCCACAGAACTCGTTTAGGCATCGTTGAATAGAGAATTGGAAACTCGATTCAGTCGTAACAACGTGAGTGAGGAAATTCGAGTTGTTTTGACCCAGAAAGCGAAGTTTGAACAGCAGACACTTAGGTGCAAGATTATGCCAAAATTCCATGTTTTTCGTCCCGTTTTTGCTCATTTTTCGGGGGCAAAATGAGCAAGAACACTCATTTGTATATCATTCTAGACAGAAATAAATGGCCTTTTCAAAAAGTGAACCATGGATGGGGAAATGGCAGTTTTCTCAAAAAATGCTTGAATTCAAGAAGTTTTAGATTTGCGTGGATTTCTTTGAGTTGCAAATTCCACTTGAACATGACGCTGCTTTTTTCGAAGTTTCTCAAGAACCATCCGAGCCAGATAATTCGTTTTGGCATCGTTGGCAAGAGAATTGAATGGGAGGGGGTCCCCCCCTGGATCCGCCCTTGAAAGAAACTCTTAGAGCAAACCCACAATTAAAAAATGAAGCCTCTGTAGGCAAAAAAAGGCAAAAAAAGGTTCTTCCAAAAATTGGGGTTGAATGCCCGAAAAATTTTTGACTGAGAACATTTTGCTTGGAAAATCGTCTATTCGGCATTAAAGTCTTCATAAATTGTAAACTTTTTCAACTAATATTAATTTCTCAAACATATTTTTTTTTCGAAAGTTGCACACTGTGTGTTCGAACTCGCTTTACTCCCTTGCTATTGCGCTAGTTTTGATAGCTACTTGAGATTTAACGACGTTACAAAAGAATGGAAATGGAAGTCCAACTGTTGCCAACATTCAGGGTTCAATATCGACCAAACCGTTGCCAAAGTCGATTTTTGTCAAGACCGCCGAACTCTAGCGATTATCCGTGGCAATCCAGGGCATTTTTCTTTCCGAAATATTTCCAGCAGTGGCAGAGTTATGGGCAAATAAGTGTTCAAACAGTGGATGGCAGTTTCTCATTAACTGCAAATTCCATTTTTTCGAAACTATATACGAAAACCATGTTGTTGAAAAGTGGAATTTTCTAAATTTGACACTTAAGTGAAACATTTGCACATAGCGATTTTCAAAAAACTCGAAAATTTCCACCATTTTTCGGAAAAAAAAATTGTTGCAATTTTTTTTGCCATTCAATTGCTCTTAAAAATACATTTTGGGGTTTAAGAAATCTCCGCCGCCAAACATAGCGTATCAAAAGAGCGTGTTTCTTGAACTTTGGCCCTGAATGATGTTTTTGAATTTCTGAAAAATGTTGATAACTGACTGAGTTACAGGATGAGGAGTGAAGGTATGTGCAAGCTTGAGAGTTTTTCGCTTGCCATTATTCAGAGCCCATTTCGTTCCAAACTGTTGCAAATACAAATTTTCTTATAGGCAGTGAATGTGCCGAGAAAACGCTTTGCAAATAATCTGATGTTCGATTTTGAAAATCAGTTAAATCGAAGTATTTCGTTCGGGAAATCGTCTTTTCGACCTTAAAATCATCAAAACTTTCAAGTTTTTCAACCGATTGCAATTTTCCGAGCTGCAGTTCTTATAGAAAATCGTACGTTTTTTAGCAAACTTCAAACTTTACAAATCGACCCGATATTAACAGTTATGCAGGAAAATTCTACATACAAAAACCTGTTTTTCCAAAAAAATGCGACCCTAAATCCACAAAGAAAACATTGATAACATTTGTTTTGGAAAATCGTCTTTTTGACCTTACAATTCTTGTTATGATATTCCTATCTTTCCTGGGTTTCAGTCAAAGTGTGAAGTAAAAATTTTTGAAACATCGTTTATTTCAGTACGTTTCGGCGAGACAACAGCGCCATCATCAGATTTAAAATTTGACACAAACTACAAACACCAATTTTATAGAAAATCGTTCGTTTTTTAGCAAACTTCAAACTTTATAAATCGGTCCGATTTTAACAGTTATGCAGGAAACTTCTACATACAAAACCATGTTTTTCCAAAAAAATGCGACCCTAAATCCACAAAGAAAACATTGATAACATTTGTCTTGGAAAATCGTCTTTTCGACCTTAAAATTCTTGTTATGATATTCCTATCTTTCCTGGGTTTCAGTCAAAGTGTGAAGTAAAAATTTTTTAAACATCGTTTATTTCAGTACGTTTCGGCGAGACAACAGCACCATCATTAGATTTAAAATTTTACACAAACTACAAACACCAATTCACAATTAAAACATGTTTTAAAACATGTGTAAAAAATTTATAATTTACAAAGTGAGGGGAAAAAAATTCTTCCTTCTGGGAGAGCAAAACATCGGAAAAAATTACCTCATGATTGGTAAAAATTAACGTCCCTTTAGGTCTTTGCCTTCTTGAAAAGCTTGTAAAGTACACGCAGTCAGGAAAATAAATCAGATTTAAAATTCTTTCAAAAAAAAAAAAAAAATAAAAACTTTCAAGTTTACAAAATACGATTTTTAGACAAAATCACTCGCTTTAGAACGAACTTTCCCTATTAAGAGAGTTTCTAATTTATTCATACTGAAGACTCTGATCCCTCTGGATCAGCCCTTGCTTGTTAGTTCAATTGAGTTGCAAATTATTGCTCGTTTGGTTTGTAGATTCCAACGAAATTATTCAATGTTTCTTCTATGAGAAACCGGAAGTTTATTGTGAGGAAAATCCACTGGAATTGAAGGAGACTAAGCGAATGGAGGCAGAGCAGCAGGAATCGCTGAATTCTTTGAAGAATGGCCCCAGTTCTACATGTTCCGCTGGAACCAATAACCCGAAAAGTTTGTATAAGAATCTAGACAAATGTAGATGCTTATTTTAACATCACATTCGGTTCAGGTAAACGCCAGCGTTGTAGGCAGCAGCAAGTGAGAGAGCAGACTCGCTATTTTTTGAGGAAGCGCGGTAATAGTAAGTTATTTCATGCCTAGACATTTTTTTTTTCACATTGAAACTAATTGGGTTTACAAATTTCTGAAAAAGAAATTGATATGTTGTGCCAAGTTTTTTTACATGAATGTACTTTTTTTAGAAGTCTATCGACGTTGTATTAATTTAGATTAAAAGTGCGGATAAAAAAATGTTATGTATATATATATATATACATATGAAGCAAATACATATTCGGACAGTTTTACCTGCAAAGTCTAAGTTATGGCAATTGAAAAGAATAAATGTGTCCGAATTTCTCACTTCTGTATTACATAATATGTATGTTACGCTATTGTACAGGTTGTCTCAGTGTTTTTCAAACTTATTTTAAGTCATATTTCACATTTATACAGTTTCATTAGTTTATCTTTAGTCCAGTGCAAGCATTCGAGCGATGCACTCTGAGGATGCTGCTTCTTGCTCATGCAAATCGTCAGAAATTGTTTTTCCACGGTTTCCGCTGCTTAAAACTGATGGGTTTTTTGGACTTTTAGACCGTCGAAAAGTCCAAAACACTCATTAGTTTTAAGCAGTGACCGCAAAAGTTGGATGCAATAGAAAATATTTTTTTCTGATGTTTCATTTTCAGAGGTGAATAATAATAAACAAAATAATACAATAATAGGGAGGAAGAATACAAGAAGGAAAAGTGAGGAAAAAAGGCATGCAAGTAAGAAATTTATGGGAAAGTATGGTACCCTATAGACCAATCAGGTGAATGATTGGATAGAACGCAACCAACATTAGCTGATAATTGAGTTTTCAAGAATAACTGAACTATTTATCGATTCCTTATGTTTATTACGGTTAGGTTGTTTTTATCACTCCATAAAACATATTAGGAAGTCTTGCTCAAATCACCAATTCGAAAGGAAAATACTAAGTTTTTATGGTTAATTTTATTGTTTCAATCAAGTCAATGAAAGCAGTAAAAAATCAATTTTCTCTTTGCAGATTTACCAAAAAACACACTGAAGTAGATGGGATAGATACACAGGGTATGTGGCTGATTAGCATTAGTTTAATGTGATTTTGTTCTTAAGTGTTTATCTCAATTTAGTTTGTAAGTTTCACAATTTATTACTCACAGAGTTGGGTTGATCATTTTGAAAACAAATATCGATGCAGTTAGATGCGTTATTAGTTTTACAAGTTGCGAAGGCCCTAAATTGGGCATTCATATTTTTATTTGTTTTGTGATATTATCAGAGTTTTAATGTTTATATTTTATGTTGTGTTTGTTTGTTTATGTTTAGATTTTTCAGTGTTTGTTTCCTGCTTGTGTATGGCTGGAGTCCCGCGATTAAACCGGGTCACTATAAACGGAAGATTCATTTATTTTTGCTTGTGGTTAACATTTTATTTTATTTGACAAACTTTTAGAAGCCTAGTAGCAATAAAGATTAGATAGAGATAGGCTTTAGAGGCCATTCCTTGCAACTTGTGAGTTTTTCGGGTTTTTAGGCCGTCGTACAAAATAATTTCTTCCTGACGTTTCGCAAGCACCAGTGCCTTGCATCTTCAGAGGTGGTTTGCTCGAAAGCTGATTGACCAGTACAGTGTAAGCTATCAAGCAAACCAGCTCTGAAGATGCAGGCCACTCGTCCTTGCGAAACGCCAAGAAAATTTTTTTGTGGATGTAAAAACCCGCAAAACTCACAAGTTTCAATAAAAATTAGGCCCGTAACGATCTGTACATTTCGAGCTTTACGCTTGAAGAGGAAAAAGAAATGTTATTGCTTTAAGGAGTTTTCTTTTATTTTTGTTTCGTTCAGCAATACCTCTGATGAATTATCGCAAGATCTCATTAAAGTCAAATATTTGCCATAATTTAATCGGTAATTTCAGTTTAAGGTAAACTTGATGTTCACATTTTCTTATTTAGTAGATTTTAGGTAACGTTATGTTGGTGCCTTTGCTCTGTTCGAACGCATAGAAACTTTACAGAGTTTCATTTCTAATCAGCTGGAGTTAAATATATTTTTTACAATGCCTAGGTATTAGACTGTTGCCAAGATTTACTTAAAAAACATAGTTCTTATCATACATCTACTATTTAAGACATTGGAATTACAGGGGCTTATCAGAAACACCGAAAGTATTTCTTTCTCCTGCAGGAGATTCAAGCGAGACTGATTTTAACATTTTAAAAACAATTGATTAGTTTTTGTACACTCAATCCTAATGCCTCGTCCAGAGCTAACGAGCCGAGCCTGATCAGCGGCAAATTCCTTTATTTCGTCAAAACACCGACAGAAAATCGATCGTCTGTCGGTGTTTTGACGAAAAATCAAAGAATTTTGCCGCGGATCAAGCTCGGCTCGTTAGCTCTGGACGAGGCATTAGGTATATGCCAAAGGGATGCAATAAAACCGTAAAAAACGGACAGTATTATATATTTCGAAAACTAGGTAGTTAGTGAGATTAGTGCTAATGACCGTGATGCTAATTGGTAAAAGATGCCTATTTAGGTCCCATGGGTTTATCGGTCAATAGATAGTGGCAAAAAATAAAACACTATTTCTCTTGGAGCAACGATTCGACTATATTTAAGCGATCTTCAGGGCTCTAAAAGGGAAAATAATCTAGTGGTCGTCAATAAAAGGTATTCACCACTTAGTCATTAATATTAAATAAAAGAAAAGAGAACTTAGCATGTTTTTTGCCACTATCTATATTGACCGATAATGATCTCATCTTTTACCAGTGATAATTTTAGTTAAGGCTGTTTATTACAATTTACTTATTAGTTATTTACTACTTATGTGGGATATTGAAACGTATTGAAAAAGTTGGTCTCAGGGAGGGTTCCTAATTTTGTCACTGTTCTATAATATTTGCTTTCGAAATGATCACAATTTAATGTTTTGTTTGGTGTTTTGTTGTTACTATTGCGTTATTTTGTTGTAGTTAAGGTAGTAAAAGTATCATGTTAATCTAAAAATTGGTTTTGTGTCCGTTGAGGTATAAATGAATTAATTACTACCGGGCAACTGAAGCGTAATAGTTTTGTGTTGTTTTTTCAATTGCTACTAATAAACACAGTTATATTTTGTCAACCAAAACCAGCATACATCAAATATTTTCAAATCATTCCCACATTTCCCAGTAAAATCGCAACAAAGAAAATTTAATATGTTATTATTGAAAATAATAAAATATATCTTATAAAACAAAACAAGAAAATCACATCACAAATCGAGATTGAATAGGAGAGAAATAACATTCGATTTTCAAAATGTACATAACAGGAATATAAATATATATCAATGTTTTATTTAAGTACTCAACTTATTTTAAAGAAAAAAAAACAGATGTTGATATTATATTAGATAAGTGGTTGTTGCACATCAAAGTCCCTTGACTTTGAGCTGAAACCGATGGAAGCTTCTTCATCTCGCTCTGAGAGGAGCCTTTGTTTCGCCGATTTATTTTTGCCAAGGAACCTAAACAGGAAATAGTATCAGCCGACTGTTTCCACTAAGAGTAGAAGAAAATGTTGAATAGAATTACTGCCAGGTTAGAATTTCTATAAGTGTTACGTTTTTCTAAGAGTGTAACAATGTGTAGGCTACTGGTGGATTTTATACACAATACAATATTGCCATTGGCCTATACATATTTCGGGGATTTCACTTAAAGTGTTAAGAAGCAAGTAATGCCTTCAGTGATCAAATATACCTACAGTTACATTTTAGAATAACTTTTTTTTGGTATTTCCCAAATTAATAGTGGCTTTGGAAATCTACATTCACTATGAAGTTTTTTGGCGGGTATTTTGCATAAAAAAGTTCCTTTTCATTTTTCATTTCATTCAAATAAAACAATAAAAAACTATTTTTTAATGGATAATCACAGACCTTATGCTTAAGCTGTAAGAACAATTAATTTTGAAAAAGTACCTTGACGTTTTGATAGCAATTCTATGTTTAGCAAAATATACCTAAAAAAGAGTGAATTAATAAATTCTTATAAAAAAAGGGATTTTGTTTTGTAATAAAGTGTACATTTTATTAAAATTACTAAACAAAATTTATTTTGATTTGATTTGAATGATGAGATGGTTTCTTCAGTGCGTACATACCCGCTTCCTCCCTTTCTAATAATACATTGTTAAACAAGCAATCAGTGACAAACAATTGTCATTTCTTCACTTTGTTTTTAATCTCATTGTTTAAAAAACAAAGACAAATAAGATTAATTAAGAATTTTGATAAAATTTAATTTAAATGTATCTTCTTCCTAAGAGTTCACTGTCAATATAACATACATAGGCTTGAATTACATGAACATGATGCAACATGATTTTCTTGATTTAATAGAATGGATACATTTTGAAAAACGAAAACTCACAGCGAATATTTACAGATTTTCATTAATTTAGGCTCGTTTAACAACTTATTAATATACTATCTTTTATGTATCTTTTGATAAATACTGCAAAATTGCAATCGAAACGTCCAGGCAACTTTCTAAGTTAATTTTTTAGAGCAAACTTTATCAATCCTTAATAAAAGACGTGAAGAAATGCTGTCTTCTTTAAAAGATGAACATTTTTAGGGTGATTAAAAAGGTTTTTCTGTCTGAAAATAGTCGATTGGAAAACCAGCTTCTTTTTTATTTTACATCATCTTGCTTAAATTATGGCCGGTTTATTACGACAATTATGTTGAGAGGCTTCAAATTATTGTGATGAATGGTTTAAATGTTAAAAAATTATTTGCCTAAATGGGTCATTTTCATGGGTTACTTTTCTTCTTAATGGAAGTATAATGTGAGCGCTACTATGTATAATTCGTATGTGTCAATCTAATTAAAAATGTGATTAATACGTAATCGAAAATTGAAATGTTAGTTCACATTAATGCTAAAAGCATAATAGACGGTTAGTAAAATAAGCGCAGGGCATTCTTCGCAAAAGCACAAATAAAAAATAAAGTGGTCAGGGTGCAAAACAAGCACAAACACAAAAAATAAAAAAATGAAAATCTGCAACGTACTTATTATTTACAACAATAAAATAGCAGTAGATCGAGCAGTAGAAAAACATCACAAAGAAAAGAAAACATAACGACTTACGATAGTTACTAAGCCACTTAAGCTTCGGGATTAACTAAAAATTTGAAGGCACTTTTTCCTTTTCTAAAATAAAATAGAATCAACTTAATATACGTAAGTTAAAATTGCATGTTTTGTGTAAATTATCTCTATCATTTTCGAAGTCTTATGTACAATTTAAAGATTTTCAAAATGCAAATAATCACCAATTCGCACATCACCGAATCATTTTTTTTTCTCATTTCATCGACATTTTCTATAATAGATTGTTTTTCGAGAGTATTATTTGTTGAGAACATACAATAGTTTGTAGATGATTGTATTGCAAATTTTCTGCGATTTTGCAACCGACTATCGTACTGTAAAACTTGTCTTATTCTTCACTCAGTATTACTTGAGAGAATAATTTTTCATAAATGAGCAAACTAATAGTCGAGATACCATTCTCAACTTGGTCCAAACAGCTGGTTGAACGCATAACGGCGTGCAGACCTAGATCTAAATGAACTTTATCAACCACTTTTTTACTGAATTGTTAGTGAACCTTCACCTTGCTATATCAAATCGAATACTAATCTGGAAATTGAAATATAATCTACAAAATGATATAAGATCATGCAAATGGGTGCTTGTTAGTATTCTCGGCAGTGCGTTGTGTTATACCTAGATAAAGTGGTCGGGCTGCCTCCTCCTAGACTTTCGATGTCATCCAGGCCGCGATGAATTGAAATCGCTTCCAATGAGCAGTGATCCCGACTGGCTAAGTATTCAGCAGTCTCTAAGTCCTTTTTCGTCGGCTTTTTCCAAAGCTTCAGCAACAAACTGGAAGCCACTACGGATACGGAGCTCATTGCCATTGCTCCGCTGGCCATCCAAGGCGCCAGCATGAACCCCACCATACTAAAAGCACCTGCCGCCAATGGAATTCCTGCAGAGAAAGTTAAATATACAAGCAAGCGCTTAGGCAATGCACCAAGAAGTACCTAACAAGTTGTACATGCTGGCAAATATGAAATTGAGCCGAATTCGATCGACAGTTTTCCGGCTGAGTTGTAGACAAGCCACGACATCCAGCAGGTCATTTCTCATAAGTACAACATGGGCTGCTTCAACGGCCACATCGGTTCCAGCAGCAATTGCCATCCCAACGTCTGCTTGTGCTAATGCAGGAGAATCGTTTATTCCATCACCTACCATTGCCACACGAATTCCCCTGCTTTGGTACCTGAAAATTGTTTTTTTCGAGATACATTCACTCTCTTTTTTCGTCCTTACCTTTGAACTCGCGCTACTTTGTGCGACGGCAAGACTTCTGCATAAACTTTCGAGATTCCCACTTGCCTGGCGATGCTGACCGCGGTCTGTCTGTTGTCGCCAGTCAGAAGAATCACCTCCAATCCCATTTTTTTCAAAGTATAAACTGCTAAGTGTGCCTCCGGTTTTACCATATCGGCTACGCTAATCATGGCTACGATGGCATCTAAAGAACAACAGTAAATGAGAATCCGGAGGATTTTTAGGGTCTAATTTACACGGTTGTTCACGATCTGTTTAAGGAACGTGCTACGGGCAATTATCTAAGTTTTTCTATATAGGAAATCCTACCCTCACATTATCTATTTTAAGTGTTTTTTTGTGTAATTTTTCCGGATATTCTTGAAAGGGGAATTATAGAAAGAAGAATGCCTACTGAACTAGTGAACGTTAGTTGTAGCCACAGCTCTCTCAGTTTCAACTAAACTAACTTCCAAGTAAAAGGAAACAAACAAACAAAAACAGGACGAAACATGATTTTATATGATTTTTATGCGATATTGGCCATACATTGTTTGAAAATATTTTCGTTCCACAGAGTGTTCGCGAAAATCCATGGCATTACCAAATTATGTTTTTTAAACGGAACATAATTAGCATCAATATGTCGCAATTGGTTCTCTCTTTCAAGATCTCGGTGGTGCAATTGAAAGGCCACCGAGATCACCTGACATGACACCCATTGACTTTTTCCTATGGGGTCATGTTACGGGTGAAATTTACAAACAGGTGCAACATTTGCTCAAGACATGAAAACACGAATAAGGCGAAGTTTTCGAAAATGTTTCAATACAAATTTTAGACAAGATAAAAATGTTTTTTAGGCTTAGAACTGTAATGTGTGTGCAAAATGAGGGTGGACTGTTGCACCTAGGAACACCTATATAAATCTCAATATATCAGTTAAACATATTTGCGGGCTGTAATGCTGTAATGTTCATTGTCTTTATTGGTTACTGTTTTTTTACTATTAGGTTGTAGTTATTTGTTGTAATAGAATTTCAATAACTTTATGTGTAAATAGTTGATAAATTTTTCTGGGACTACTGCTAAAGCGTGAACTCATTGCCTGCATTTGTTACTGTTTTATTAATTATTGTTTGTTTTTTAAATGCAACATTTCCTGTTTCTTCAGATCTATACAATAACTTTTTGAATTTTTTTACAAACTTCTTGTTGGGTATTTTGCCTCAAAATGTTTGTCTTTAAAAAAAACAGAATTTCCTCACGTCTTCTATTTATCAATCTGTAATAGAAGACGTGAGGAAATTCTGTCTTTTTCGAAGACAAAAATGTTTGAGGCGAAATACCCAAAAAGAAGTTTGTAAAAAAAACAGTAAATTTAATTTACGGACACTAAAATCTTCATATACTTATTATCTTTCAAATTACTTGACTCAAATATTTACATTTTTAATTCCGCAGAGGATAAAGATCACGTCTACTACTGATCTCAGAAAAGCGTAAAAATGTATGATAAACTTACCATTTATAGCGCACAAAACTGCAGACCTTCCTTCTTCCTCTTCCGCTACCATCTTCTGGTCAACTTCCGGCAAAAGCGCCAGGCCGTTTCTTCGCATCCATTCTCTATTGCCTTGGCAGGAAGTTAACGAAATTAATTGAAAAACTCAAATTTTTAAAAGACGCCTCTTACCGACTATTACAGTATATTCGCCCAATCCCGTGTCTGCCGGAGCATCGCCCATGCCAATCAGATGTCCCAGACGCATATTAGGGGATTGATGCACCTCAATTTCCACACCATTTACCTTGAAAGTGCCGGAACTTCCAGCCGACACCAATGAGGAAAAGTTCGATAATTCCGCGCTGTTTTTGGCGTTCTTTATCAGCGGTGAAATATCGGAGACTATGCACTTGAGACCGCATCCTGGCACAGCCTGAAAACGATCTCCGTCAAAGTTTTTCCAAATACTTAGTTGCACTTTACACTCACTTGAAAACTCTTACTGCTTCCGTTAATGTCACTCCCTAGCACTTCCCTAACGTATTTCAAAATAGCGGAAGCAATTGGATGCTCTGAGTTGGCTTCGGCACAACCAACAGCGGCTAGGATTAAAGCCGGACTATAACTATCGCCTAAAGAAATTTGAAATTAATCAATACAGCCTTTAAAAGGTTTTTTTGGTCACTTGCCCTGCATCCAAATCTTGGAAACTTCTGGAGTGCCCTTAGTTATAGTGCCAGTCTTATCAAACATTATGGCTTTCACTTTGTGGGCATTCTCTAATGGGCCTGCTCCTTTGATTAGGATGCCGTTCAACGCACCAACACCTGAAAAACAATTTAAAACCCATTATTAGCAACATCCGTTAGTCGTTTTGTATATTTTATCGTAGCTGATGCATTTACCGACTTTTAATTAAAAAAAAATAGTTACCAGTTCCCACCATGACCGCAGTAGGTGTAGCTAATCCCAAAGCACAAGGACATGCGATTGCAAGGACGCTCAAAGCGCACCTAAACACAAACTGTAGGATGATTTCCACATTACTAAAACCCTCAGCTTTTTCGTGCTTGCTGACTGGAAGCAGATCGATGTCTATCGCCCCAATTATCGACCAGATTATAAGAGTAAGCACTGAAACTCCCACTACCGCCGGAACAAAGTATCTGGAACAGAATCCATGGATTTTAGCTCCCCTGGATAGACTAGAAAATCACATTTACAAGGCAACTAAATACACTTAGGAGGCATGACTTCAGTTATACTCGTACAAGGTGAAGAGTAAAGTAAGTTTTCAACTACTTTTTGATATATTTATATGAAATATGAACGAAAATGGAGTTTTTTAGTTATTCGGATTTAACGATGAACATTTTCATTTTCATGTGTTTAGATACCACATTTTGAAATTTGGCAGTAGAAAAGAGAAATTCAAGAACAATATTTGGTTTGCAAAATATTTGTCTTAGTGTGGGCATAAAATCTTCCAAATTAACGTATGTTCAAACTCAAAAATCTATCTTTGTTTGTAAATGACAAACCTCGTATATTATCAGTGAGTTTTACTCAATATACGAAAACCGTACATCGTTGCTAAATAGTTTCTATATCAACTGTTCTAGTTCTATTTTTGAAAAACCCTTCAAGAATTAAAGGTTTTCGTATCCTGAGTAAATAACACTAACACGTTCCTCTTTTTTCTCTTGATCCCCTGGTGGAAAGTACACAGTTTCGCCACTCTTTTCAATAGCGAAAGAATCACTTTTACTCATTACAATGACATGACAATGACAATTTACCTTTCCGCCGATTATTCAATTACATTTTCTTCACCCCATGTGGAAAGTAATAACTTAAGCCACGCACGCTGACAGATTGACTCTGTCACCGACTGTTTTGACAACATTTTCAAAGCGGATTTTTCAAAACCTTATATTTTAAGCATTACTTTACATATTAGGTACAAATTTTCTTCATCCCGGGTGGAAAGTAATAACTTTCGCCACGCACGCTGACAGCTTGACTCTGTCACTGACTGTCAGCTGACTGTGTTGACAAGATCTTGAAAGTTTTTTTCAAAATCTTATAGTTTTCCCGGCTAGTTTCCACCGAGGCTCAAGAAAAACAGTATACAGTACGCGAATAGTGTACCGTAATATACTATTCTTGTTCCCTTGGAGGAAAGTACGTACTTCCGCCACTGTTTTCGATGGCAAAAGCATCACTTTACATATTAGGTAGAAATTTTCTTCATCCCAGGTGGAAAGTAATAACTTTCGCCACGCACGCTGACAGCTTGACTCTGTCACTGACTGTCAGCTGACTGTGTTGACAAGATCTTGAAAGTTTTTTTCAAAACCTTATAGTTTTCTCGGCTAGTTTCCACCGAGGATCAAAAAAATTATACGGTACGCGAGACGAAAGTCGAAATTCCGCCACTGCGTTTATGCTAAACGCGCCTAAAAAAGTTTTCGCTTCAAAAAAATTAATAAATTCAGTTCCACTACTAAGCCTAGAGCTAAGGCTAAGTTAAAACCCATCGAATTTACTCACCCAGCAATTTTATCCGCTAAATGCTGAATCGGAGCTTTGGAAGTTTGGGCTTCTTCGACCAATTTTACGATTTGAGACAACGTGGTCGCTTCCCCCGTATGAGTCGCTTCTACGATCAACAATCCATGCTGGTTTATCGAACCGCCGATCACAGAGCTTCCTATTTTCTTTGGAACCGGCATGCTTTCCCCAGTGATGAGACTTTCGTCGCACATCGATTGGCCCTAACGCAATTGGAAGAGAATACTTGTTATCGGCTTTAATAGAGTGGATGCTTTTCCGTTCACACCTGTGTAACTTTGCCGTCAACTGGCACTTTGGCACCGGGCACAACTTTCAAAAAGTCTCCTCGCTGCACCAGATCAACATTGACCACTTGCTCACCAGTTACTTCGCCTTTCAGTCCAAGAGTGACGATTACGGCATCTGTAGCTTTGAGGGAGAGCAATCGACTCAATGCTTCCGATGTTTTGCCCTTGGCGATATGCTCTAACCATCTGCCTGCATGCAAAAAACTTAACTAAGTTGGTTTTCATTATGTTGGTTAAGTTGACTTACCCAAGCTGATGAACACCAGAAGCATGGGAGGCGTATCAAAGAACGTTTGCGGCGAGGTCTTCTGCTGCATGATCATTGCGGCTAAAACGACCAGCACTGAGTACGTATAAGAAATGGACGTGGCCATCGCTATTAAAACGTCCATGTTAGTGGTGCGATGCCTAAGTGCTTTATAAGCCTGTACGATAAAATGCCGCCCTCCCAGGATGAGAACTGGAGTGGACAGGACGAACATTATCAAATTTTCCAGGGATAAACCTGATAATGACATATAATAACATATTAATGTTTGCCTGCGCTCTCTGGATGTATGTCGGCTAACTTACCAGGAACAACGCAACACATGTCCTCATGGGACATATTTCCGGAAGACATTATGACCATAAAATACATCATAGCGATCATGCAGGGCCCGCCAAACGCCAAAGAATAAAAAAAGCTTCGCTTCCATTTTCGAATTTCACCTTTCTGTTGCAGTCGATCAGTGTCGTGATCTTTGGTCGCCAGTCGCGCGTTGAAACCTAATCTATTACTCAGAAATTTTAATTGAAACCCATAGGAATTAACTAATACAAATTCTATTGCAAAAATGTCCACACTTATTTTCAAACAGGGTCTGCAAAAATCGCATCAGTCATTAATATGAAATTTAGCAAGTAACGCACAAGTCGACACTAAAATCAAACAAATGATGGGATTCGAGGCAAAACCGCCAAAGTGCAATAACTTAGTAAGGAAAACAACTTAAATGTTGTTAACTCGTGTTCTCCATATTTCCTACTGTTTGCCAGTAAAATCGCGCAAGTAAAAATCATGGCCTAACGGCCTGTTTTGGTGAACAAAAAATTCGATATAAAAGAATCTTCATATTGAAGGAATTGTATTATTATTTTTAATCATTATGTCTTCTGGATGAAAAATATGAATTATTTTATACCTGTTAATAATATATGAAAGCAAAGGGAAAATAAAAGAAAGAAAATCGTTCAGGAGTATTAACACGCATGCCAAAGTGGGAATTTACAGACGAAAAAATACTTTTTTCTTAGTTGTACAGTTTACAAACTTATGTTACCTACAAACAAGTTTTTCAACTTCAGCAATAAAAAAGAACCTAAAAGAAAGTCGGCTAGAGCTAGATTTTGCATCAATTTGAAAATGTTTAAACGAGCATATTAAAGATCCAAAAAAGGACACAGTCAAACTATAAAATGCAGAAACATAATATGGTTTCATACAATAAAAACCAAACATATCAGCTTTCCTTTAGAAACTTTGGATGAGGACTTTCCATTTTTCAGCCAGAAAAATGCTCAAAAAATGTTAGGTGTCCAGTAAATAATTCAAACTGAGAGCCCCTTCATCAAGAATCACGAAAAATTAAATATGAGAAATGGGAGAATTTACAAAAGTTGCTACTTTCATCCTTCCAACATACCATCAATTTTACAAAGATCTACCCATGAACCAAAGCCGCAAAAAATAGAAAAAACAAACGACCAGCAATCCAGTTGAAGATTCGCAAATTGAAAATGTTGATGAACAAGATAATAATTACATGAATTTGTTGTCAGATTACGAGTAAATTTAGTAAAAATATTAAAATATTCAAAAAAATTGTTCGCTTTGTCGTTTTTGTATATTTTGATCATTTGTTTTAATTCAAAGGCACACCTTTTGGCTTTTTTGTTCAATAACATATTTAAAAAAACATGTTTTCGATTTCTTGAATAAAAGTTAAGTTTTGTACTTAATTTAAATCGTTCTATAACATCAACTAATTTAATTTATAAGCTAAAAATTTTCCATTGTACGAAAACTGACGATTCATTTCTCCAAATAAGCCTTTTATGACTTAGGCGGTTTTGCTTCTAATTTCAAGGGGTCAAATCATGTACTTACTTCTGAATAGCATCAATTATGCTCCTCGGTCCGGTAACTTCAGGATCGTACTTGAACTTTCCCTTTTGAACAGTGAGGGCGACTTGTGCACTTAGAATGCCCGGATACTTAACAATATTGCTTTCAATTTTATGAACACAACTCGCACATGTCATTCCGCTAATCTCCAGATCCACCTAAATCAACGAAAAACCATTTATAAATTGGCACTCGCCGCACTATTCACATTTACTTCCGACTGTCCAGCGCCGGACTGAACCATAATCGATGCAGGAAATCCCAGCTCGCTGATAGACTCAGCGATTTCGGGCGGCGTTACCAGACTGGGGTCGAATTGTACCTCAGCTCTGGCTGCTAGTAGAGATACTAAAATCTTGTGGCATCCTAAAAACCAGAAACTGAGTCTCCTCCAATTAAATAGAGCTTAGTAGTTAGTACCTGATATTTTTTTAACATGTTTTTCGATAGCAGCCACACAAGACCCACAAGTCATTCCCTTTACGTGAATATAGCATTTTTCCAAATTAACGTCTGGATCTTGAGGTGTGTTATTTTTACTGGCACTCCCATTAGCCATCGGAATATTATCTGAAATAACAAGACACCAACTCAACTCTGGGGCGTTCCAATCTCAATCGAGTCGAGCACGGAATTACTCACTGTCGATTCTTACCTTTCTTTTTAACATCTTTGCCGTTAATGCTTTTTACATATGCATCGAAGCCCATATCTTCGATTTGCCGTGCAATATCGTTCGGTTGAATTCTATTGGGCAGATATTGCACGAAAGCTTCTTTTCCTTCTAAATCTACTTTTATGTGTTGGAGGCCTGGTACAGTTGAAAGCATACCTAGAATATTATAAGTTATTATTACGTCTATGTTCTAGAACCCACAAAAATTACCTTCAATGCTTTGAACACAACTATTGCAAGTCATGCCATCAATGTGCACCAAACACTCATTGGGACTGTTCAGTTCGCTGCTGAGTAAAGGCAATGAGGCCTCAAAGCCCATATCATCGATCCAATCGCAGATCTCTTGAGGATCGGTTAGCTTCGGATCATAAGTTACTAGGGCCAAATTCTCCGGCAGGCTTACCTATAGTTTTAATAATTGTCGAATATTTTACTTTGCACATTTGGTAGCTGAGAACTTACTTTTATATTTAAAATCCCGGATTTTTTTCGTATTGTATCCTGTATACTATTAACACATGACTGGCAGGTCATTCCCATAATATTGATGCGAACAGTTTCATTTTCATAGTCCCTGCTAAAGTGTGGTGAGGAGACTTTGTAGTCTCCAGTGGCCGAGATGCCAGGAACGGATTCATGATCCACATACGTTCGGTTGATGAGCGGCTCGAACCCCAAGGTGTCCGAGGTATTTCTGAAAAAATACATATTTTAAATAGTTTTAAAAAGCAAATAGCTAATTGTATGCGGGAAATTTCTAAGTTGTAAACGTAGAGTGAACATACGAAATTGATCTGTTATTAGCGCCGAATTATGATTTCCTAATTCAAGAACTCCCCAAGGTGTTCGCAGAATGATAATTTCAAAAAGGTGTCTCAAGGTTTCGCTTTTCGATCGGAATAATATTTTAATGACCTTAGATATCCTCCGCGTCTTAATAATAACGAAGGCACATAGAATAAAATTGGCAATCTAATAAAGACCATTTCTACATTAATTTTCGAATTTTCCTTGTACTCGATCCGGACAAACGTTTTGAAATAAACTTTTTATTTCAATTTTACCACCGACAAAAACTTACGAGTCATTGTCATCTACATCTAATAACAGGAGAACTTTCTCCATATTTCTATCACTTCCAGAGCACGAGTTTCTTTGAAATTTTGAAAAAACGTCGCACCAAAGTAGGAGCTTACATGTGAATAAAGCGCCGATTCAAGAAACCTGCCACTTGAAGCTTGATAAGCCACAACAAGCGAATAATACTACCCAGAGATAAGCATATGGAAATGGATTCGTTAATTAGACTGTTTACCTATCAGGTTATCTGAAAATAACGGCTGATCAAAATCGAGCAGTTAATAATCGAAATAAAAACTGCGTGGATCAGTTTTGAAAAGATTTTTTTTCAAAAAAAAGATATTTTTTTATTAATGCGATTAATGACCGAAATACCTTGCTGATGCATGAAAAATTTGCGTTTCTAGTTCGTAAGTTACCATATTGCGTGTTTGTAAATTATAAACGTACAACGTACCAAGTTTCATAAAAATTTAAAATACGGTTTCAATTTCAACAGAGAAAAATTTTTTTATGGAATAAAGTGCAATGTAGCAAACAGAAAAACTTCTTCTACAAAGAAGTAATATCAAATTTCAAGTATTCAACGCTCATATTGTGAAGTAAAATTATGAAAAGTCTTGATTGCAAGAAGTTTTAGATTTCCCTGTTTTTTTTTTAGTTGCAAAATCCACTGAAACATGACGCTGCATTTTTCGAAGTTTCTCAAGCCTCATTTGAGCCACAGAATTGGTTTTGACATCGTTCGATAGAGAATTGAAAATTCGACTCAGTCATTACAACATGAGTGAGGAAATTCGAGTAGTTTTGACCTAGAAAGCGAAATTTCAATATCAGACACTTAGGTGCAAGGTTGTGCCAAAATTTCATATTTTCCATTTCGTTTTTGCTCATTTATCGGAAGCAAGATAATCAAGAACGCTCATTTTTAGATCATTCCAGCGAGAACTAAATGGTCTTTTTAGAAAAGTAAGGAAGTTGGCAGTTTTCTGAAAAAAATCTTAATTTCAAAAAGTTTTAAATTTGAGTGTGTTTTTTTCAGTTTTAAAATCGACTCAAACATGACGCTGCTTTTTTCGATCTGGTAGAAAAACAGCAAATAATTGAATTAAACTGGGCCAGAAAAAAATGAGTTTAGGTATAACCCTTAAATACGTTGACGCTAAATTAGGTGTTTAATATCTTAAATTTAAGCATTCCTCACAAAAAACAAACGCCACTATCGGAATACATCGATTTTAGAGAACAATGGATATTGTTTGGGTTTAATGAATAAAACATTATGAGACAAAGGAAAAATTACTGAAAAAGTTCGTTCTGCCCTTGATTGCAGCGCAATCAGCGGAATGATGAATTCAGATGGTAAAGTCAGAATAAATTTATAATTCTCCTACAGGGTGGTCCACTTTTAATTGTCAACATGATAATCTTTTGCTATCAAAACTATTTAATAAT